GTAAACAATGGGTGTGTCGAGTGAAATGAGTGATACCCAAATCCAGTGAATCTGATATCCAAATGTAGAAATCTGACCAAAATTCCTAGTTGGGGTTCCTATTTTGCAGAAAGAAGAGTTGAAAGGTACTCCTATTTTCAAAATGTAGGAATTTTGCCGAAATCCTATTTAGTTTGGGTTTGAGCTAAATGAAATCGAAATGGAGATGAGAGTTTGAGGGCTTACCTTTTGAGATGGAGACTTCAAAATGTTTGCAACGGAGACTTGGAAAGATATGGAAGCTTCTTTGGAGCTTGAGAGTGTGAGTTTCTGGAGAGGGACTTGAAATGTTGAAAATTTTGTGCCCTAGAATATATCACTTTAAAAATATTTTCAACAAAATTAGTGACGGATTCTAACATTCGTCGCTTTCAATTAAATATATATTTAGAAAAAAATATATTGATGGATATTTTCATCCCTATATAATATAAATTTTATAAAAATATATTTAAAAGTTTAGCAACCTTTTTTCTGTCACTAATTTCGTCGCCCAATATTAATTAAATTTGTCACCCCTACTTTGTTACTAACTCTGTAGGGAAAATTAGGCTCCAAACTTTCACGCTAATATTTAGTGATAAAATAAATATTCCGTTGCAAATCCGTTGCTATATTATAAATCAAAAAATCATTTGTTAATTTTGCAACAAAATGGTTATTCCGCCGCAAATCCGTCGTTATGTAGTGACAGAATATTGTTCGTCGCTAAATGATGAGTCCACAAATTAGACTCATTTAGGGTTATATTTTAATAGAAATTGTGTCTTCAAATGCTTATTTTATCTCAATATCTGATGAAAACCCTTAAGTGTCAGATATTTGAATATTGAAGGAGAGCATGGACACTACTTCGCAAAAAGGAACGAAAAGGCTGAAAAGAATGAAGAAAATGAAGGCCTGAGGATCGCCGAGTCCACTTGGCGAGTCGTTGAAGGGTCTCAGTTCGCCTTTTGTTCTAGTGTGCTGAGCCTTGAAGGAAAAGATCAAGTCGACGGAAAAGGGGAGCAGTCGGCGCATCACCGAGATGTTCCACGAGGTAGTACTGTGTCGCCCAATGACCGAGAGCACGACGATGCTGAAGGATGGTGCAAGACGACGATGAACTACATCAAGGGGTGAATCACCGAGTTGATCGGCGATTCCAACTAATGTGCCGAATGGTTCGCTGCAACACAAATTTCTTTAAAACTATAAATACTCATAGAGAGTTTGAGCTTAGTATCAGATTTTTAGTAAGAGATTTTTAGTGTGAAACAATTAATATAATTTTTAGTACTTTTTATTTTTGCTCTGAGTTAGAGATGGTTTTGAAAACTTGAAGAAGAAGAGGGTTTCATCTCCAAAGATTTGGACTTGGGTCTCTTGGATTCTTCATTCTTGGCCTATAACAAGACTTAAATCTTCATACCCATTTGAATGCAAGCTCATTTAGGTATAAATTTCTATCTCTTGATGTGTGGCTAAAAACCCCAATTCTTGGGGTGTGATTTAGCGAATATGGGTTAAGATTGTTGTTGGGTCTTGCTTGCTAATAGATTAGATGTAGTTTAATGGTGATTTCTTCTAGTAGTTGTGGTTGAATCTAACAAATTTGTAGTTGCAAAGACAAGTTTATTTATATGTTTTCGGCTTGCTCGAGAGAGAGGTCGCAAAACCAAGACTACTAGATTGATGTCTTAAGTAGTGGATCGACATGAATGTTCAGCTCGAGAGAGTGAACCCTAGTCCCATATCCTAACACTTAGCTCGAGAGAGTTAGTGAGGTAAGGCGTAGGCTGGTCTTCATGCGGCAAGTGGGTGTCCGAGAGGAACCCATTTAAAACGGGGTAAGTTGCTCGAGAGAGAATTTATTCCCACGTATAGCTTAGCCTAGTCACTATTACTCTATAAATTTTCTATCGAAAGCATGTACCCAATACTTTAGATTAACCCGTATTCCGGCCACATTCCAAGAATCCCTTCTCATTACTTAGAAATCTTTGTTAATTTTATTGTTGTTACTTACTAGTGACAAAAACCCCTATTGTTAAGTGATACTCTTGTGTTCCCCTTTAACTTACAATGTTTTTAATCGTTAAAATCTTTAGCTACGATTAGCTTTAGCACATTTGCGCTTAACCACTAATTTTCACGTCCACTCCCTTGGGACTCGACCCCAACCCTTGGTTGGGTTATTATACTATTGCACGATGGTAGACATTTGCATCGGAAGTTGTGTCGTTGATTACGCAAACATCACTAAACGATTTTTTTAGTAGTGATATGTGGTTTGTATGTATGAGGTTTTGAACAATTTCCAAGGATCCATTTGAAGATTTGAGAGTTGACTAATTTTATGATATCTGGTGTACCTCGCGATCATGAAGGATGGATCACTTTAGCGAGGGTCGTGTTAGTGAGGTCTTAGTCGCATTCGCGAGGGGTCAGACTCCATTGACCATCGTGTTCGCGAAGGACCTATCGCTTTCGCGACCACATTTTTCTGGGGTTTGCTTTTGTGAACCAAAGGTTGCGATTACGAGTTTGAGAAATCGAACCTGAGGTTGCTTTTGTGAGACCTAAGAGGGTTTATGTACAAAATTTTGGGGTTTTACCCCATTATCTTCCATTTTGAGTTTTGGAAAATTTATTGGAGGCGATTTAAAACAGATTTCTAGTGTTAAATCATTTGGTAAGTGTTTGTAACCTTAAAACTTCAATTCCGTTTGATCATTTGTGAACTTTAACATAAAAAAAGTAGGATTTTGATTGACCAAGTGAAAGGTTTTCAAGAACGTGAATTCTAAAGTAAAATGGTAGTGATGAACTGATTTTAATTTCTTTTTCGAAATTGTTTTCACCAATGAGTTTCAAATGCCTTGGGTGACGTTTTCAAGTTAAGATTTTGGATTCAAACCCTATTTTTGGAATTGGATTTTTAGAGTCGATTTGACCCATTTTTCAAAGTATATGATATGAGTATTGTTATTTCTGGAATCTTATTATGATTAATTGTTTGATTAAATTGTGTGGCTTTGGACATTTTTTGGAAAGGAAAGGCTCAAGTCTTGGAGTGACTTTTGATTGGATTGAGGAAAGTGAACTTCCAAGCTTTGTAAAACTTGTAGAATTTTGTATTTTTCTTCATTGTGTGTGTTGGGGAGTAATGAGAATGAGGTGATGAATCAATTACTCTACTTGATTGATCTTAATGAATAAAAAAGGCAATGTGTTGATAATTGTGCTTCATGAATTGCCTTGAGTGTTGATCCTAATTTGTTGATTGATGAAATGCTTTGCTGACATTATTGTGGACTTGAATTGCTTGAGTTTATGATCTCTTCCTTATGATGTGAAATTTTTTATTTGCATTAATTTCTGTACACCGTGATTAGACATGTGGTGATTATGCCGATGTGAAATGGTTCCGACAAGTAACATTATACCAAGCCAATGGGAGATGGTTACGACGAGTGATGTTGTGCTGATGGAAAATGGTTCCGGCGAGTGATATTGTGTTGATGGAAAATGGTTCGGGCAAGTGGTATTGTGCCGATGAGAAATGATTTCGGCAAGCGTTTGACTTTGTGATTTGAACTTGATACTTGTGATTGAGATACCTATTGTTTGTGATTGACATACTTGGTACTCGTGATTGATTAACTTGATACTGCTTGATTGTTGAACTATGAATGTTGGATTATGACTGTTGAGCCTTGTGGGCTGTGTAAAATGAACTGTTAGGTTGGGTTGATTTCTATGCAGGTTGTAGTTGAGGTGGTTCGGTTGGGATGAAAGGAGTACTTGTATTCTAAATTAGTTTTTCCTTATTTAGTGGGTTGCTTGTTGAGTATCGTGTTGTTTGGTACTCACTCCATTGTTTTACACTTGTGTAGGTTTCGAGCCTGGACCCGTGTGATTATCTTCTTCATCTTTCTCTGAGGCTTTCAGAGGATATATTGAGAGGTAATTGCTTGTCATCCTGGCGGGACCTCTTGTTCCTTATTTTGTGTTTTGTTCTATTCGAGAAACAAAGACATTGAGACTTGTATTTATCTTTCAAATTTTGTACTAAGCCTCAAATGCAAGAGAGCTATTGGATAACCCATCTACTTGCAAGGAGACTTATTGGGACTCTCTTTTACCCAACTAATTATCGCCCAAAGATTGATTACACTTACACAAATAGGAGGGAGTGATCAACCGGTTTTTATATGGACAAGCCGGGATCATCTCACTTAGAAGCTTCTTTTCAGATTCTGCGATACATCAAAAGCTCAACGGGAAGAGGTTGATTCTTGTCTATGTCATTCTAGTGGCTTGTACACGTGACAATCATATTTTGGGGGTGTTTATAAGTTAACAAAGCTTTTCGCACTTACGCTATTGTTGATTTATTTCCACATTTCTTTCATACTTTTGGGTTTAGATTGACTTGTCTTGGTGAGTTTAAACAAGTGCCATCACATTCATTTTTGGATCGTGACAGAATAAAAAACAACATGCAATGTAATTTGTAAAAAAAGTAATCACTTGTGGAATTTGGAAAAATGTGGTATTTATTTTTAAGTTGAAATGATATTTGCTTGTGCTATTAAGTTATTGGTCATTGCACCAAGACACTATGGTTGAAGTTGGAACCTTTGCAAATAGCTAGTATAGAGGTACATATTTGTATACTTTCTTCACAATACAAATCAAAATCAAATAGAAGTAAATTCCATATTGTGATTTGCTTTATTCCACCAAACAAGGAGGTACAGTACTTGTCTAAAGCTAGTATAAAACCCCAAAAAACAAATGAAAGGAAGAAATTAAAAAAAGAAAGAAAATAAATAAGTGTTAGAAAAATCTGCAAAGTGGTTGACACTTTCTATAAATTACCTACTTACTAGTGATAAATTGGTAATGAAAGACCCTTCATATATCCCATTAGAACAAGGCACATTACACATCCAAAGAAAAGAAAATACAAAAAAATGGTTTGCCCCTCTCAGCCAAAAACTTCCCTGAAATCATCATCTACTAGCTTAAACTCGATGAAGCTGAAGAGCCTAGTACAATCCTTCATATTCTCCCATGTATACCGAGCTATAGCGAAAGCGAAATCATTATTAATTCAAATTATGAAGAATGTTCAGTTAGTTCATCAGAACAAGAAGAAGAATAATGTGAAGTTGTTTCTTGGTTCATTTAGATTGCATTATAATTGGTGTTCTTCTCATGTGATGCCAGTGCCTGTTCCAACTGCATTTGATGTTTATTATGATTCTACATGGAATTCTATTATATCTACTGCTTGTGATGAGTCAGAACTCTCTGGCTATCTTCAATGGCTTGAAGACAAGGACAATAGTAATAATGATATTGATAAGCTTGCTGATATGTTCATTGCAAATTCTCATGAAAGGTTTAGGTTGGAGAAAGTTGAATCTTATAGGAGATTTCAAGAAATGTTGGCTAGAAGTGTATGATCCAATATTATTTTAGTGGTTGGTGTTGTATGTTTTGATAATTTTCTCATATTTTGGAAGGTGCATGGACTTCTTTTTTTTTTTTTTTTTTTTTTTTTTTGAAATTTAGAGAGGTAGGTCTTGTGGGATTATATAACCATAGAATATGGAGTAAAGAGAAGGAAAATCTCTTGGCTAGATGGGGGTATGGAGAATTGTGCAATTCTTCTCATTGACATATGTTAATACCTTTGAGATCTGAAATTTATTACAATCCTTCTACTATATCAACAATTTCAATCAATTTCTATTTGAGAGGTTTCCTTGTTTCCTTATATCGTTGAAATAATTATAAAGATGATTAAAAATCTATGAATTTTATGAAGAAAACAACCCATATAAATCTCTAATATTTTATTCATGCCATATAACGAAAAGAAGGTAATTTACATTGGATTTTGGTGCATTAAAATTTCATTGGTGTCGAGTCTGTTGGATAGGACTTGCCTAGTACAATTTACATCGTATGTATGATTTACAGTCTATTACATCCGATACACACAAAAATGCTCATCCAAATTAAAGAGACCGTAGCTATTATCAATTATCCTGGAGTTTTAAAAAAATAATAATTTTATCTGTGTGAACGTATTACCGTTTTCATTGTATCCACATATTTTAAGGATAGTGACATTTGGGTTTATCTCTTTGCCTTTTGTGGGGTTTAAGTCCGCAAGTTCCTTCGCTTTTGTTTCTATTCCTGCGGGCCAAGCTTTTGATACTTTTGAGATTTAGACTGTTGATAAAAATAAAGAAAATGCATTAAAATAACTATCCTATATTTAAAACAATGAAGACCGTCGAATTCTTTTTGTCCTTTATTAAAATACTTTATAAGGTAAAATTGTCATTTATTATTTTTGTTGAATAATTATTATTTTACTATTTAACACTTAATTGTAAAACAAAAAAATTCCTAATATTTAGTAATTTTTATTTATTTTTTCTTAAATCTTTCTTATTTGAACTATATATGTTGAGAATTCATCACTAATTTTTGATAGATTAGATGAGAGGGGTTTGGGCTACAGTTTAGAAATTGGAATTTGAAATAGGGAAAAAGTAAAAGAGATGCATGACCCTTTTCTTCGAGTAATTAACTCATTCAAACTAATCAACATGAATTGATTGTTTCAAAATTTCAATGATAAAAAGAAAAAAGCTAACACCTTTACTCCATAAGTTATAAGTTTTCTCTTTCTTTTTTGGCCAAAAGTTTTTATTACTCGTTCCGTTCATTTTTACTTATCATATTTGAATTTAACATTCCTTTAAAAATAATAATGATTGACATAATTATTTTATTATACTATCCCTATTAACTGATATTTTAGTACTTCTTCCGTTTGGATTTACTTGTCAAATAATTCCTAATTTGATTTCTATTGTTAATTACTTGTCATTTTTTGACAAAATCAAGAAAGGATAATTTTCTTTTTCCTATTATATCCTAATTTATTAACATTGAGTTAATGAGTAAACATATTTGTGACCCTATCAATTAATATATGTAAATTAGTAAACTCAATATATCAAAATCATTATTTCTTAATAGGTGTGATCAACACCATTGGTTATACTATAGTTGATTGATACAAATCCTAATCCCATTCTGTGACAACTTTGAGTGCGATCGGAAAGGAATAAGGTGTGCCAAGTATATTCCAAAAGAGTGAGTATTAGATATTGAAAAATAATTTGGAGAATAAGTAATTAATGTTAGGGGTAAAACATGAAAAAAATAATTATGTATCTTTTTTTGTTACGTAAAATGTCACGAGTAAAAATGAAAATAAATTTTAGTAATAGTGGATAATAATTAAGGTGAAGGGGTTTCTAACATGTCCTGTCATTTTACACTTGTTTGGATGTGTGTTTTGTTTATAGAGAAAAAGTCTATTAGAAAAAACAAAGGAGCAAAAAGGCTTGATTTTAGCTGAAATCTGATCACAAGCATTAGCTGTTTGGATATTATAATTATTACATTAATAACGGCGAAGATTCAGCCTTGTTTAACTCTTCGAGTTGCTCACTCTTTGATTCCCCAAAACCCCGCCAGACTTGCCCTTTGTTTTCTTTCTTCTTTTTGGATTTGGAATCAAACTTATAATATACGCATAGTACATAAATACGTCATTTGATTTTGTTTAGGTGGTATTTATGTCCTTCGATTTTGAGTGTGTACAAGTTGACATTCAAAGTTGTAAAAAATTGAACAAGTAGATATAAGCGTTCTATGTGACATAATGCATGTAGGACATAAAATTTTCATGTAGGACGCCACATAGGACGAATGTATCTATTAATTCAGTTTTATATAAATTTAAGTGTCTACTCGTGCACAACCAAAGTTGAAGGACATAAATAACAACTGAAGCCAAGCTGAAGATCATACTTATGTATTTTTAACTTATTGTAATTGGGAATAATTTGTGCATTTCTTTCCGATGACCAAACTTATTTATTATGAACTACCTATAATTATCTTTTAGGTGAGTTGGTCGATGTACCCAGAGGCGGAACCACATGGTTTAGTGGGGGTGCACGTGCACCCGTTAACTTCTAAAAAAATCATGTGTATATGTGTGTATCTATCTTAAGAAACTAGCAGAAAGTAGGATATAATTAACAAGGAACCATAAATAACATAGAAGTGCCCTTGTGCAGTTGGTACGAGCTAGTGAAATCACCTACGAGACCAGGGTTTGGACCCAGTTAGCACCTATTTCATTTTTCATTCTTTTAATTCTAAGTTTAGCTTAGAGCTTATATTGGTGCACCCGAAGTATTCAAAACCTGGGTTCGCCTATTACAAGAAAAGTGTGAATTATATGGGGATTTTCTTGGGGATTAGTATGAAAATTTGCAGGAAAATAAGTTTCCTACGGATTTTCATACTAATCCCCAGAAAAATCCCATGTAATTCACACTTTTCTTGTAGCGGCCTTTGAATGTACTCCTGCTAGTTTAAAGAAGTTAAAACTCCTTTTCTTCTTTTATATGTTTACTTTTGTTTCATTATTTTTGGTCCTTTGAATGGAAGAGCATTAATAAACAACTCACAAGTTGCTTTTCCAGTGTCTGTTGTATAGAAGACCAAGCAGCAAGAACCGGACCTGTCATGGACCACTTTTACCCAAATGACCCCTTTTTTCTTCTCTTTTAATTTGCATTTAAATTACTTCAAAAATTTATAGCGGGCACCAAGTAGGAGAAATGCTTCATGGAACATGGTTTGTGAGTCTACTTTACTACATATTAATTTTGCTATTCTGTAGTCAGCTTCCATGGTGTGTTAGTCTGTTTAGCAAATAGATTACTACAATTTATTCACATAAAAAAACAATAAGGGTCTGAAAAGTCACCTGTTAATTGAAATTGGTGTAATTACTAGAGAATTATGATGACATATTTGTTTGTTACTATGTAATTAATAAGTTATATTAAATTATAAAAATAAAAGTTAATTATCTAAAATTAAAAATTTATATTGGACGAATAAGGGCCTTTATAAATGATATTAAATTAAATATTTAAGATATAATTTATCTTTGAAAAATATATTAATTAATAAACATATATTCTTAACTAATATTATATAAAAAAATTGATATATTTTTCAAATTAGTATATTTTAATTAATTAATCATATACACAAAACTACAAGATTTCTATGAACATGATGAAATTTATGTTTGACAAAAAGATAAATATTATAAATATAATATCATAAAACTATTAAAATATTTGACAAAAATATAATCTATCAAGTCTAACTAAAAAATAAACAACTTGTAATGTGAAATGTCAAGTATGCTAACCTCTGTAGTTACCTCTTACGGTAATTCATCAAGTACAAGCACAAGTCATAATTCATAACATTAGTAAAATAGACAGTTCATTAGTTTAAATGCTTATTCAAGAGACACTTAATTCACTCATAAAAAGTACCAATTATGTCCAGAGACCAATCAACATGCAATACAACTCACATTACATGTCATCAATCAAGGAAAGTCTAACTCCAAGTAAATCATAACCTACCTCAATCAACGAACTGAAAGTAAACAAGCTAAATTACAAAAAAAAAAATCCTTTTTCTCAACACCATTGAATACTCAAGACTTCAAAATATAACCACACATTAATCATCTACTTTCTCAAGCGAAGGTCTTGGCTATTCAAACTCATTTAATTCTACCTATTGAAAAGGTATAACAAACTATTGAAAAGTTATTTCATCAAATCAGAGGTTTTCATGATCAACCAAATCTCATTCATTAAATTTCAGCCCCATTAACCTCTCTTGAGAAGTTCATAAACCCCAAAAATATATTTTTATAGGGTTTCCAGTTTCTCTCAATATCATAAATAAAGGCTAGGTTTATAATTTCATGCTAGAATATAGAATTTAATGAATTAGAAATGAAATCTTGCATGATTATACCCTCTCTTCCAAAAAGTAAACGAATTACAAAAGGAAAAGATGAACAAAAAACACTTACCTCAAGAGAGAAAAAATCTAATTCTTGAAAAAGTCGCCCATGAGGTTTTCTTTATTCAAAATAACCAATTATGGATGTGAAAATGAATTAAAACTATAGCAAACAACCACTTCACTATACCAAAGCCTCACAACTTCATTGCCTTTGATATAGCGAGCAAAGCCTCTCTTAACTATAGTGAAGGAGGATTTCCATTTTATATATATATATTCCAATTCTCAATTCACAAGGACCAATATGAGAGCACTATAGAGTATAGACCCAAAAAACCATAATGATGGGGAAGATTGTTACATCAAATATCAATTAAACACACGTTCATCTCAAACATCAAAAAGGAAAGATGAGAATAACATGAAGTAAAGAAAGATTATTAGACTCCACGAATAACTGAGGATATCTTCTACCCATGTCTAATTCAGTCTCCAAAGAGACATCCTCTATAAGACGATTCTTCCACTGGACCTTAA